AAGCTGAAGGAGTGGTTTCCAGTGTTACCGGGGATGGGAAGGGAAGGAGAACATAGCTACCTTGTGAGTCACTGTAGGGCACTCCTGTGACCCCAAATCCTGTGTCCTTCCACTTTGCAAGTTTCCCTGAAGCCCCAGCCACTGGGGTGTGGACTTCCAGGAGACAGCAGCAGGCCCCTCTCTCGCCTTTCCTCTTCTCCTGCCTCCCACCCTGGGTGAATGGTACCAGGCTCTGTGCCGCTAGGGCTCCTCTAGGGTTGCTCAAAGCTCGGTATGGAAGGGAAGAGGACATGCTGAAGTGGAGGACCAGGAGATCCGAAACACGGCACCCCCTGGTTTCCCACAGGCTCCCCCCCCCCCGCCCCCAGGCCAGCTGGCCTTTCCTCCGAGACAACTCAGAAGTCAAGCTTAAACAATTCTCTTGGGACATTCCTCTCCCTGGGTGGTGGTATTTTGGGGAGCGGATGTGAACTTCCCTGAGGAGGAGAGGTGTAAACTCCCAGCATCCTGCCCCCATACCCACATCATCCTTCATTCACCAAGTTTAGGCCAGGGGCAGGGAAGTGGAAAGGGGATTAGGTGCTCAGCGGCCAGGATCGCACCGCGGACAGGAGTGCGGCCCGCAGAGCTGGAAGGGGACTGAGGCGCCACCACCCCTGCTGACGATGACATCCTGCCAGGAGGGTCTTACTCTTTCCTTCCACGGGGCTTTCCCAGAAGGCAGCCCCGGAGACTTGCCAGGCAGCCTGGGATTTCTTCCCTGCCCCACTGCTTTGCAGAGGGGGCGACCCGGCAGCCCCATCGCCGCTGCGGGCCTGATGGGAAGGGCCTGGAGACCGGATTCGGGGCTTCCGGAGGGCCCGGGGTCCCCGCCCGCGGCGGCCGCCTGAGCATTTATGGTAATGTTTGGGTTGGTGCAAACCGCCGGATGCCCCGCCTCCCGGGCCTGGGCCGGCAGGTCCTCTGCGAGCTGGCCTCCAGGGGCGCCCCAGGAGCTTAGCGCCGGCGCCTTCTCTCCTCGCCTGGATCCCCCGGGCTGAAGCCGTGGGTGCTGCAGGGCTGAGGTCGGCCAGGTGGGCTGGCCCACTTGGGGAGAGGACAAGAGGGACAGTCCTCAATTGATTGGAAGGCTCAGCAGAGCTAGGGACCAGCACGGAAAGTCTGTGACACCCCCACCAACATAGTCCAGCCACCCACTGCCGCCCCCTCCCTCTGGCTTAAGGGTCTCTCATCCCAGGAAGAGTCCGAATGCACCCACATCCTCTTTCCTCTTCTCTTCCCCCACTCCCTGGCAGGGATGGGGCTGAGAGGACAGGCCAGCAGCTCCCAGGGGAGTCATCGGAATGCTGGGAGCCTGGGAACAGACCCCGCAATCCCTGGGAAAGCCAAGCTGTGGGAATCCCACCATCAGCCCCCTCCCCAGGATGAGCCACCAGATGCCAGCGACCCCAGTTCCCCAACATGGGGCTTTGCGGGAGTGGAAACAATCCCCCCCCCCAGTCCAAAGCCCAGCCTTGCTGGACCCCAGAGTTCAGTAGGCCAGCTGTGACGAAGACAGCCCTCCCCCGCCCTCCCCCACCCTCGGCTCCCCCTGCCTGCTCCAACATAATCGCACATTGTGCCACTCACCCCCTCCCCCGCCCCCCTGGACCCCTATACAATGGGGCCTTTGCGGCCTCCAGAGTGGAGGGCCTCCAGAGTGGAGATGAACTCACACTCACTTTTTTTCCAAGTTTAAAAATAGCCCCTCCCATCCCCCCAGAAAGCCACCCTCCTCTTCTCCCAGGGTGTTGCCGGTGGGTGTAGCTGGGGTGCACCTCCTTCCTCCTGCCCTGGTCAGGTGCGAAGGGCATGGGTGAGACTGTGTCCGGCCTGAGCGGGGCTGCTTCCCCCCATTCAATCTCTTCCCCCACATCTTCCACCCAGCCCCCCAGTATCCGGTTTCCTGGCTTGATGATGTCCTCAGCAGCAACTGCCCCCCACCCTCCTTCCACCCCCCTTCAGGAAAAGTTCTCCTACCTCCCCTCCAAAGACCTCAGCTAGATCCCATTCTTTGGCTAGGCCAGGGGGTTCCCCACCCTCCATGACTACCAAGACTGTTGGACCACCTCACTCCACCCCCGTCTCCTCACTGCAGCTGCAAATTTGTCTTTATCAGCTTCCTTCCTCTGTCCAGCCCACCCTTCTCACATCCTCCTGGTCTTTAAGGCCCCAGACTAGAAGAGTGGGTTGGAAGCCACTGTGTCCACTATGCTCCATAGAGCCGAGCAAGGACTCCTAGGTTCACATCTCACCCCCTGGAGCCCCTTGATAGGTTCTGTCCATCCTGTAACCCTTGAAAGGGGTTCAGTGGTGTACCCAGAGACAAGACCAAGAGAGGTTTAGGCCAAGTTTAATAAAAGGGGATGGAGACCCACCTGGGCAAAGATGGCAGCACCAGGAGTGGTTGGGGGCTTGTTTTTATACTCTGTGTAGTGGATGGGCGATTCCACAGGTTGCTGGAAGGCTTTGGTGGCTAGGATCTTTCTAGGGGAACTCTTGGGGAGGGGGGGCCAGTAGGCCTTTTGCTCTGGTAGGGGAGGTGGGGAAGGGTTTAGGCACCTCACATCCTTCAGGGACCAGGCCAGGACCTCACCTACCTCAGTTTCTCCACCTGTGGCCAGATCCACACCAGAGAGACATGGGAAGGGGATTCCTCACAGGGTCCTCTTACCTCAGCAGCCTGTGTCTACCATGGGAGTGAAGGAAAGCAGCATTCCAGCCCCCTCCTGGGAGGAAATGAGGAACAGTTAGACTCTGCCCTCGGGATCCCTTCATCTGGCCTTGGCCTACATCAGGGCCAGGCTGCTTCTGACCCCATCCAGAAGCTAGGCCTCTCCTGGTGGAAGCCCCATGCCAGCTTCTGCTACCTCCACTTCTGCCAGTCTCCATCCTCTTTTGCTGGAGTGCTCCCAGCTGCTGCTGGAGTGCTCCCACTCCTCTGGCTTCCCGAAGGAGCTGAGGGCTGATCTTCACCTCCTGCTCCCTCTGCCCTGCTCTCCTGCCTCCATTCTCCATCTTTCCTTCCCCCTATTCCCTCTGAATCCCCTGCAAGGTCCTGACCCCCCTTTGGTTTGGAATCCCAAAGTGCCCTCCTCATGAATCGCAAAGCAATCAGTTCCCTGCCGCTACCACCCACTTTCAAGCTGTCTGGACAGGGCAGGCTACTGGTTTCCTTAAAGGACAGTCTATATGCTGGTTTGGTGTGGCCATAAAGGAGACAGGTATGTCACCCTGGGCTCTCATTTCCCTTTAACTGCAGAGAGGACTCCTCCACCCCCACCTGGCTTCACTCTCCTCAAAGCAGAAAAAGAATTCAGAACTGACTGTCCTTGGTGGTTAGCTGGCTTTGTTTCCAGGCCAGACAGAGGAGAATGATTAGTTAATGGTGTTAAGTGAAGGGAAGGGGGTAGGGTAGAGAACCCAGCTCCATGCCCAGCTCCTGGCCTGCCAGGGCAAACAGCATCCTTCAGCCATTCCCACTCCAGCCCAGCAGACAGATACAGCACATCCATCAGCTCTGGGCCCTGGGCCAGTCCATACATTCACTCCAGGGGTGGGGAGCCAAGATCCTCCTCTTCTCCAGGATCCAGGCCCCAGCCTGGCTGGTCAGCTTCGCCTGGTCACTGGCTGGAGATTCATGCACATAAAGGACGGGTCAGCAAGGCTCTGAAAGACAAGGCTCATGTGGTTTGCCAGTCATCCCTGCGTCATCAAAACGCCACCCCAGAGCATTCTCTCAAGTCACCTGGCCATCTCTGGCAATTGCTGCCTCACCCTCCTCCTCCCCCAGCAGCAGAAAGGCTGCAGAGCTGAGCGAGACCTCCACCCCAGACCCAGACCTTTGTGTGACTCTCCCTGGTGA